ATATATATATATATATATATATATATATATGTGTATTTATATACATTGCTATTTGCACTTCAGGTTAGATGCAAACTGCAATTCATTGGCTTTGTACGTGTACTCTGCACAATAACAATAAAGTTCAATCTAATCTAATCTAATCATCTAATATTTTCCTGTTTGTCTGAGGCTCTGAATTACAGGTAGTAATGCTGTAAATAATGTTCCGTTTCTTGCACAGACTGACCGTTTCGCTTCACAAGATCTTAATATACTGTATATTGTCAGGAGTCAATTTTTAATTTTGTATTGCCTGTATATGCGTTTTTGTCTCTCAAAGTGCCGGTAGCCATTGACTTGCATTTTATGAATCGCCAAGGATCATGGTTTCAGCTAAAAATCTTCTTTACTGTTCTACTGAAGAAAAAAAGTCTCCTACATCTTTGATGGCCTAAGAGTCAAAAAAAACAAAAAAAACAGCAAATGTCGATTTTTTTTTGTTGAACCATTGCTTTAAGTTTTCTTTCTAAAAAAATAAAAAAAAAGAAATGCTGTTGTTTTTGTGTTTGCTGGTTTTGCGCGACTCACTGACGTGATCTTTGCCCATGGCAGCCAGCGTGAGGAAGAGCATCTCTCTGTACAGACTCCTGCAGATCCACACAAACACACGTCAGAGTCGCGTTCAGACTCACCTGAGCAACACCTGAGCATCACCACGCCTCACCTCTGTATCCGCGGAGTGCCGGGCTGCTTAGCAACCGTATCCAGGAAGAGCGTGATGGCCTTGTGTACCTCATTCATGCCGATACAGCGCAGCACTTCCTCCAGGAAGCTGAGGTTGAAGGGATGGTTGTGATGCCTCCAGCTGTGGCTGCGCATGGGGACGCCACCTGCAGGACAGGAGGGGAATCACATCAATCAATAACGGGAATCGGCAGATTATTAAAGTGCCCCTATTATGGATTTTTGAAAATGACCTGTCATGCAGTGTGTAACACAGCTCTAAGTGAATGAAAACATCCTGCAAAGTTTTAAATCTGAAAGTGCAGCATGTATAAAGTTATTGTCTCTCAAAAGAAAGAGTTGTCTCTGAATCATTGAAACGAGTCATTTTTAAAACGAATCTCAAGCCGTTTCATGTTACCATCAACATGAAACATTAGCATATTGCCCACCCACTTGTTGCACGCGCAGACCCGGGACAACTTAAAACCCGTGGGATATATATACCGGTTCACATTTACGTCTCTGCGTGTTTGCTGCGGAAAACCATCAGTCGATTTTCGCGTTGGTCTGAATGAAAATGCACATTCATTCTTTGCCACTAGGTGTCGCTTTTGGAGCGGTAAAAATAGCTGTTTCCCCGGTAACGCTGTACACAAAGCAGCACTGCGCTCACAAACACTGCTTTATCAGGCATCACAGGCGTGATGAAATTAAAATGAGACCAATCGGACCAATCACTGCAGATTAGCGTCACGCAAAGCAGGGGTTTGGAAAAATGAATTGTTGACCGAATCGTTTGGGAGTCGTTGAGCAAATAAGGTAAAAATAAATGCATATTATAAGACAATGAAAGCGTTTTTTGACCTTGCATGTATGTCAAACTGTTGTTGGGGACTCCCAAAACCAAAATATGAACCTTTCATAACCCATAATAGGTTACATATACTCGCCAGTGCTGATTTTTACTTGCATTTGGCACTTGCCGAGTGTTACCCTCATTCATCATGTCTGTTTTGACCCGGAATAGATACATTTTAAAAATTCTAAAAAATACAGTTTTTAGTAAAGGAACAAATCTTTGCGAATGCTTTAAGAGCCTCAAAATACACATTTATTTTTTTCACAAATTTTTTTTTTAAGATACATAAACGTTTAAAAACATGTAACAGGTTTTGTGTTTGGGTTATTTTGACCTGGGTATGTAGGTAATTTTTGTAAAATGATCTATGAAATTATATTAGTGTCAAAAAATGAAATATATGCAGCCTTTTCCCCATATCTCACACACTTTTGGACTGAATTTTGTTGATGAATATGTACATCTATTGAAGAACCCTTGCAGCATGAAAAACATTACTTTATATAAGTAAAATTAATTTATTTTTGTTGAAAACATTTTTAGAGTACTGTTTATTTTGTTTTGATAGAAATAATTATTTAGGTTTCATAAATCTGGACTGTTTTTGAGCAATCATGAGTTAAAAATTCATTCTCAGATTATAAATTGTTATAAATTTTATGCAATGATATATTCAAATCAAATTTCTCAATGATATAAATAGAGAGAGAGAAAGCGAGAGAGAGAGAGAGTGTTGGGATAACATTACTAGTAACGCAAAGTTACATAATCAGATTACTTTTTTCAAGTAACTAGTAAAGTAACACATTACTTTTAAATTTACTAGAAAATACCTGAGTTACTTTTTCAAATAATTAATGCCAGTTACTTTGTTTTCCCGTGTATTGACTGACAGCTCTCCTGTCCTCATGCTGAGAGAAATCGGAAAGGGCCTTTACAGTTGCTAAAAATCTAACTTTTTGGGTTTATGTTATTAAAAAATAAATAAGTAAGGCCAGACCAGGTGACAAAAAGTAACACCAAAGTAACGTAATGCATTACCTTCCTTTAAAAAAAAAAAACTAGGCCCTGTGTGTGTGTGTGTGTGTGTGTCTTACTGTGAATCTTCCAGAGCATGTAGAGCGGCGGCCACTGCTCCGTATCCGGGGTCAGAGCACCAGCGGGCTCAGGTACGCCACCGTCACCTGCGGGGCTCCGCCCACCAACGGCACGCTGCTCACTGATTGGCTGCTGGTCTCAGAGCTGGAGTCCGTCTCTCTGATGCCGTTGCACAGGTGCTGCAGTGTGTCGTCCGGAGTGGAGGGAGGACGCATGATATTCTCCAGCTCATCCTCCACACTCAGGTTACTGCGCTCCACGCTGCACACACGTACACACACACACACACACACAGAGACAGACACACACAGAGACACACAGAGACAGACACACGCACACACACACACAGATCATGTGATTCCATATGACACTTCATTCATACTTCAGATACTTCTATTGGTATTTTATATGTATTCATAAGTTCATGAAGCTGCAGATCATGTAAATAACACACCACATTTTGGGAAACCTTAGTTTAGATTTTCATATAAAAATTTCTTGTGCATTTATAAAATTGTCTTAGAGACGCTGTACTGGACAAAAGCAAATGATATAAAATCATGTGTTGCTGTTGTGCTGATGTGATAAACTTTACATATTTGTTTAGAATTTTTTAACATATATTTTTTTAGTTTGGAAAAACAGTTGTTGTGACAGCAGTATTTCAGACAGTGATTCTTTCATTATTTTTTCACTGATCACAGAAATATCAAATGGACTGAAAATGTGATTTTTTTTAGGTTCTCAAAGCAAAGCAGAATTTCCCTTATTTTTTTAATTTTTAAAACAATTAAAATGTGGAAGAAATTATTATAATCTACTCTTTAAATAAAACAATATATATTTTCTTTAATAAATAATGTTTCAAAATTGTATTTTTTAAATATGTCTATATAGTGTTTTAAATAAATTTAGATTTCAGTTTTAGTTATTTTAGTACAACATTTTATCACAGTTTTTTTTCAACTGCTTACACACATTTTCAAAACTTTGCCTCTTTTTTCAAAACTTCACACACAAATACAAGAATTGCACACAAAATGCAAAAAGCCTCACATCTCTTGCAAAATGAAGCACTGCATTCAAAATATCACAAACACATCTCAAAATCACATTTGCAAACACTTTTGCCATAATATTAATTCCTGTTAGATTTTTGTGAGTTACATAGAGAATCGTGTGTTGCTTTTTGCAAAAAGTGTTTTATGAAATTGAAAACCGAGTCAAAGTCTGAGATCAGTGTCTGGTTTTGCAGATTTGGTGTGTGCTTCTGCTGTTTGAGTGTCAGCTTTCAGAAACTGTGTGACAAGGAAAGATTCTGTGTGTAAGCAGCTGAAAAAACTGTAAATTAAATGAAAACGAGAAATGCTGCTTTTTTAAAATAAATGTAATTTTATTTGAGTTAATGTTTATTTTATTTGAAGTAACAATGTTAAATCTGGTGTTAGTTCTAGTAGTTCTGTGTTACCTGCAGACGGGCCCCAGGTCACAGATCTCTGCGTTTAGCAGCGGTACGAACGGCGCGGAGCAGAACGGACAGGTGGTGTTGAGATTAGAGTCATCAGACGACCAGCCGGCCATGATCTCCTCATCATACACCAGAGAATTACAGCTGCGGCACAGCGAGCAGCTCGACATCAGCACCTGACACGCAGACACAGAGATAAACATAAACACACTCACAGAGACGGATTCTGCTCTCATTCAGTCTGTTTCACCTTTATATCTATAACACAGTGGTTCTCAACCTTTTTTTCCACTGGGCCGCACTATGGTCCAAGTGCAAGTCTCACGGGCCGCACACATATCATTTACACATTACGTCACCAATACAAACCAAACTGATAATATTACAGACTAAATATTATGATATCTAATCGATTACATTCATTGAAATAAATAATTCTACTCCTCATTAATAAAACACCTGATGCTGTTGGGAGCTGACCAATTTTGTGAAATTCGGCTCGAAAGGAGTAACAGCACAATGAAGTTGCGATTGTAAGTTGCAGTCTGTAAGACGCGCACGGAAGCGTGACTGGACACGCCACATTGCAGAAAATGTGCATTCACAAATGTAGCCTATGTTGATCCAAATATGGAAAGCACTTTTGAATTTAATAATCTGAGGGTCTCTCCAGAGATGTTTTGCCACATTTCTGCAATTAAGGATGATTGCTGCATAGTATGGGTGTTTCCTTTTGCCTGAACATCCTTAAGTGAGTGGCGGGGCAAACCGAAAGTCCAGCACTCTCCTACCTTCACTGATACTGCGACTATTCTTGTTTGTATGTGTTCCTTCGTTGGCATTTTCCACATTTTGTTTTTCTCCCTTAAAAACAAATTTGTCCATTCTGATGCTCAATTTTACTGAACTAATGGCTGCTGATTTGAATTGAAATCAAGTGTGTGCTTGTAAGTGTTCGTTAAATGCATAACGTTAATTATGTGAGTAAGTCTGCTCTTGTCTGAAAATAATATATGAAAAACAAAATGATTTTACATAAAAACATTATAGCTTATATTTCTTTAGTACATTTTTAAATTAATGTAAAAACTAAAATGAGTTTTAAAACTGAAAGTTATTTTTTAAATTGTGTTCAGCATGGTGGGTCGCATTTGAATTCGTGACGGGCCACGGACCGCGGGTTGAGAACCACTGCTATAGCGCTTTATTCCATGGTCTGCCTGAATAATGTATTCTGATTGGCTGGCAGGTATGCATTAAAACTCATTAAATGCACAGGTAGTTCCAAGTCAGTTTAATCACTGTTTTATATTAATGCGCTGCTTTAATTGATGCACACAAACCCATACACATCACTCACACACACACAACATTCTTTTGAATAGACTAGAAAACTTTGTTGGCATTAGTTGGCATGGTTCAAATCGTACTTATCTGACCGCCATCAATTCATAGCAGTGAATGAAGAGGTATCATATCAATCACAAGTGCAGTATGGAGTACCTCAAGGCTCAGTACTAGGACCATTACTTTTCTTGGATAATTAGGGGCTCATCTAGTTGCCCAGGTCTCCGTAATAGTGTTTACTATTGTCCTTTTGCATTATTGACACACTATTTCCAATTTGATACTGTAAAGCTGCTTTGACACAATCTGTATTGTTAAAAGTGCTATATAAATAAAGGTGACTTGACTTGACACACACACAAAGAGAGAGAGAGAGTCGGAGATCGCAGATTGCACTGCGCGCACACACACACACTCAAACTTGTAAACGCTTCCCAGTGACTTTTATTAATAAAATAGCCTAGATACTAGATCGCTACATTATATTCCTCAGCAACGAGGTGTAAAATCGCTGTTTTTTAAGGAACACAGCTTCATTGTTTGTAGAGAATAGTATTCATCGTCTGTTTTATTACGTCTTAAATTGATTTTTCCGTACTGCTGGTTCGTCTGGTCAGAGGAGAACTGGCCCCCCGACTGAGCCTGGTTTCTCCCAAGGTTTTTTCTCCATTCTGTCGCCGATGGAGTTTTGGTTCCTTGCCGCTGTCGCCTCTGGCTTGCTCTCTCTCTCTCTCTTGATTAATAATTAATTCAAATAAATGATATAATTGATTCAAATAAATGTGATCTTAAATGTGATTTCATCTCTGAGTCTGGTTTGAAGCGGGCAGAATGCTAGAGTTAACGAGCCGTAACTGACGAAAATAACCATCATTTTTACCCTTGCATTAAACGATTTTAATGCACTCTGCTTCGCGTCGAGTGGTTCTTGGCCTCCACATTGTGCATTAAAATCGTTTAATGCACAGCTAGCCATGCATTATCCCTTACTTATACTACACAGATTAACTCAGATTAGATTCGTCTGAAAGAAGAAAGTCATACGACACCTAGGATGTCTTGAGGGAGAGTAAATCATGGGCTACGTTTCATTTTTGGGTGAACTACTGTAACCCTTTTGTTTTTTTAAAAATGAATACTGAAATATAAAATGATTTTTGAAAAATGAAATGATACTCTCAATATGAAACAAATAGCTCCAGTAGGTGGCGGTGTGTCGCTGTCTTAATGAGTGAGTCATTGAATCATTAATTCAACTGATTCATTCAGATATTAAGCAAGTGACTGGCTTTATGAACGAGTCAGTGAATCACTGACTCACTCAATTAATTCAAAACAATTAATTCATTCAGTAAGGTGTCACCGCTGTGTGTTGATCAAGAGATGCTCATCAGTTCTGCTGTGACTTTGAATGGAACTATTTTCATTTGTGAAATTGAGCAAAAACTAAAATGTAACACAATATTAACTTGTTTATTGAACTGTTGTATAAACTCATGCAGATATATGACATAAATATAAGAGTGATTTTTTGCGCTGATACAGTATCTTGAATTTTAGGCTCATATACACTAAAAAGTGTTCGGTTATTTTTTTAACCCAAATGCTGGGTTCAGCC